ACTTCAAAAAATAAAAGAAAGAGTTGATTAAAATATTAAATAAAAAGGTTTTATTGTACGATCAGTTGAATGACGAATAGCGTACATATCTTCTTTTTTTATCTCTCGTTAAGAAAAGTTAGTTATGTACGAGATTTATTTATGAAAAAATAAATTTCAATTCAATTTTGGTTGTTGTTAAGGTTCTTTTGTTATTTTTCATTGTACATATACTCTGCAACATCAGATAATGTTGTATTGGATGATTTTTTTTATTATAAAATGAGAATGAGAAATGATCCTTAATAGTTGATATTTCTTTATATTTAAGAAATATTGTTACGTTATAAATACAACATTTATCATGTTATTCAGTTTATTGAATAAATCAAAACGTAAATAAATTTACTTATACAACGAAGGAAAATAACGACATAAATCTTCCGAATGTACCACTGGTTCTATCGAAGTTATTTTTGTCACCTTAGCACAATTGCGTCGTGTTTCTTCCCTAGTAAAGTCTTTTGTTACAGTTTTTAAATCATCAACATAGACTTCAAATTCAGTCAGACAAGGTACGAATGTCTTTGTTTCATTTAGAAATTGATCAATATAATCTCTATGTGCAGATACGACACCAAGTACAGTCAGATGAGGATATTCAATAATTGAGTGTAATTGACAATTGTCAGATGAACAAGTCATAAGACCATCCAATTTTTGTGATTCTTTATTTCGAATAAATAAATGCTTCAGTAACGGAAACGATCGGGCAATTCGCATGAAGAATTCATGTTCGAATGGAATAATATCTTGTATAACTAAATAGGTAACATAACTAAATACAATATTTAGAAAGTTATTGCCAATATCTCGGAGATAATCAAATCCAAAAGGAAGTGAGAAAACGGAGCATGCAGCTCTCACACCATAAACAAAATTGACACTATTAGTAACATAATTGACCATACTACCGACATGTTGTTCAATATTTGCTAATGTTAGGTGAATATCTTCACTTGGTAATTTGTAGGGTAAAGAAATCGGACCGACATAAGTACAAATATAGAAAGTGAATGAACGAAGTTGTGGCATATAATCCAAAATATCATGTTGAACATAAGTACCACCAATAACTCTATTTCGACCTTTTATAGAAATATTTAGAGTTAACTTTTCCAGATTTGACATACGACGAAGAAGTAATACAACTTTATCATATTGTTGAAATGGATAAGACGATTTTAATGAGAAACGTTTCAGATTCAATAATTTATCCTACAAAAAGAAAGAAATGTTTTTTTGATAATCTACAAGATTAAGTCATAGGCATCATTATTTTACACATGATATATCATCTATATTCTATCTGTGAATGACCACAAATGACAAATCGATTAGTTTGCTTTTCTCATTTTATAGCACAACAAACGAGTGTTATAAGAACAATCAAAGTTTCAGACCGCAAACTTTCAGTCATATTTCAAGTATTGGAAAAACTGTTATTACAGAAAAACTTTCGTTCTATTCTATGGTGATGATCATTCACATATGATAATATTTAATCAATCATGAAGCACTGTAGTCTACTTTTCAATGTGAACTATATTCGATAAAATATTATATAATTATAATTTCTAGCAACAAAGTTCATTGATACGTTTATTAAATTGTAATTTCTACTACCTACAAACTAAATGTCGATGATTTTGCTATATTCCTCAACACGAATATTTTTTTCTCCTTATCAAAATAAAACTTAAACTTTCAATCTTATCTCAATTTTTTGAGATCAATCGTTAACTGCATCGAAATAGTCAAATCTTCATAACATAAATGAAATTATTTGTAACAACTTACCATATTGTGAACACTCTCTGAGTGTGTGTCTATATGGTGGACACTAACACACAATGTTGTCAGTTTACTAAGTCGGCCATCAAGTAAATACAAACAATCATTAAAATTTTGAATATTGATATATAAATGAGTAAGAATCGGAGATGTAAAAGTAGTCGATGGCAGATAACACAGTGATAAAGGTGGATACGACATAACAGATGGTTCTATGATACTTAATTTTTTTAAGTTTTTGAAAAAGGTCAAGATGTGAACATATACATTTTCAGTATATATTTTCGATGAACATTCTACTTTGTGTTTATCATTATTAATAAGAATAAGATTTGTAATTTGTTCTTGGAAAATAAATCGAAGTGATGATTCATCTAAATGAGAAAAGCAATGTAATGAAACATATTATAATCTTTTCTTTTGTAACACCATTATTATTTTTCAACTAATCAAATTCATATTTAAATGCTTACTTGTAAAATAGTTTGAAGCGATTTCTTCTTGGAAATGAAAAATTGTAAGTTTAGTTAAATTTGGATAGTCAGTAGCAAGAAGAATACGTTCCATAAACATTGGATCAAAAGCAAAACATTTCACATTGTGATGAATTCTTGGTAATATATCACTGCAGAATCGATCGATGATAGAAATATTATCAATGGAAACAAACTTGAGAATGTTGCTGAAAATATTTTCTTGTGCAAGAATGCTAAGTCGTCCATCATTAATATCGAATAAAGAATAAAGTACATCCAGATTGTTCAAGTACTTCAAAATAATAAGCAATATTTCATTAGGTAAGTCCAGAAGATGAGCATTTGATCGGTTCATATTTTATTATGAGTATGATGTTTTTGACTAAGATAAAGCTTTATATATACATATATATTTGTTCATTGTTTGCATCTTATTACTTTGACCTCAAACAGAATGAGAAAAAAAAAGAAAACGAAGTAATTAGGAAGGTGATTGGTCTATTCCAAGTTAAATCATCTTTTTTAGACGATTTATTCATTAATTCAGTCGGTTTAGACGTTTTGTGCTATTGTCAAATTGAATAGATCAACTTTTACACTAACGTCAAATATTGATGTTTCGTTCGATCATAGTCATTGAATGTTGTGTGCAGTTTCGAAAGAAATTCAAGGATAACATTGAGAAGAAGAAAGCATATGATATTTTCATAACACAGTCAGTTGAATTTCATTCATTTAGTATTTCTTACATTTGAGATTTTTCCAGGTTAAAATCAAATGTGAAGTTTTTGCAAAAAGACAGTTCTTTGTGGACCTCAAGTCTTTTAGTTATAAGGAAATTTCACTACATGTTACAATAATAGAAATGTATACATCTGAATGTGATCTAGGTACGCTACACACACACATGTATTGTGAATCTAACGTTTCCTGTCCACACGAAAAGATTGTTAAGCAACTTGATATGTTGTATAATCTCGTCCATGTTCAACTAACATTTTTTCATTATAGAAAAAAAAGCGTTAATAATAGGGTTAAAATTCATGGAAACGAAAAAAAGCTTTAAGAAAAGTATGCATTGTCAAGATAAGGAGAGATACGTACATCGTTACTCTGTGTTACGAAAGATAATATCATATCTATATAATGAAACAACAGATATTGAGAGAAAGATGAAAGAAAAAAGTGACTAAAACATAGACGGTGATTTCGACATAAAACTTCTTGAGAAACGATTGATATTGACTTTGAAATTGTGCACAAAAGAAAATGTAACTGATGAAATCATATGCAATAAGATGTATAATAATAGTTCGAAGTTTGATCTTTATCACAGAAAAGGTTACATTTAGAAAAACAGCTAACATTTAAAAATATTAGTCAAATCATAAGACTTTATGAGTATATGTTGATAGGAAGAAAAGCGTACTTTTGTGTGTCACTGAAATGCAGAGACATGAGTAAACAGAATAAATTCATGTTTCCTACTATTTTTCATTTCATAACTTAGCAGTTGCTACATCTAATCGAATGAAAATTCACGAAGTATGTTTTACAGTTGTCTTTATACCTTTTGTTAGTTTGTGTAATATTTAATATGATAAATAGACAATAGTTGACTTTTACAATAATAATATGTGTAACAATAATAAGAAAAGATAATCAATATATTATTGAATAATTTTATTTATTTCAAAAATCTGACTAATATTGGGTCTACACAATTAGATAAATATAAAATAAATTCATTTTTTATGAACTTGGTGATGTATGCACTAAGTCAACAGCGGTATTGAAAAGATTAATTGGACTACGTCCATCAGTAATTAAAGTTGATTTAATACCAAGAGCTTGAAGAAGTTTAACCTAAAGAAATAAAGTATTTATTAATTGATATGAAAAAAATTCATCTAGAAATTTTTACTTGATTATCTGGTCCACTTGTAGCAATAGCTTGTATAGTTTTGGGTCCAATAGTAGTAACATGTTGTTTAAATTCTTCAGTTTCAATATCAGCTAATCGTTTGGCCATTTCAATTTCCAAATCCGATGTTAATCTCCTATAAGATAATTCAAGTTCACGTGATTGAGTTAATCGGTAAAGTTCTATATCAGCTTCAATTTTTTCTGCTTGTGCACGAAGTGTCGCTAAAAATAGAATATGTATATCTATATGTGACTGATAAAATATATTGGATATATGTTATACCTTGTTCAACAGCAGCTTCACCTTCAATTTTCGCTGCTTCTGCTCGTGATTGAGCTTCAGCACGTGACTGACCAGTTGATTCAACAGCCGCTGATAAAGCTTGAAGTTGTAATAAATTTCGTCGTTCTTTTTCAGCTATAAAAAAAATACAAATAATGAAATGATTATTTCATAAAAACAAAATAAAATTTTACCTTCAGCTTCATCAGTAATTTTTTGTCTTTCCAAATGACCTTTTGCTTCTTGTTCTGTACGTGAAGCCATATGTCTAAAATAAAAGATATGAAAGTTTTTTCTTTCTTTTAAATATAACAACTTACTTTGCTTGAGCTTCTTGTGAATTTGTAGTAATCTAAACAAAATTATATATATATTTTCTTTCGAAGTTCTAAACTTCTTATCGCCTTACTTCAATAGCTAATTGAACACTCTTTTGAAGTGCATCACGTGTACGTTGATCAACAGGTTCAACACTTTGTATATCAACTGAAGTTAATACTAAATTATTTTGTGGGAATACAAGTCGTTTGTTGATTCGTTTATTTTCATCAAGACCAAATACTGATGCACGAATAACTTTGGCTGAATTTTTATGAAAATCATCAAATGAAATACTAGCAACAGCTCCTCGAATTTTAGCAGCAACCGCTTTGCAAAAATCTCCAATAAAATCGGGAACTGAAAAAAGTTTTGCAACTTCTTTAGTATCATTACGATCAGTGATCTTTAAATAAATAAAAAAATTTTTATTAAAGTAAAAATCAAATAAATTTTTCTTACTTCAAAATGCCAATTGTATGAAAGTCTAAGTGAAAGACGAGCATGATCACTTGATTCAATTGTTACAATATCACTAGAAAATTCTGGTCCCAATAAAAGACAAATTGCTCGTATTTTATTTGGTGCTTTCGGTTTTTCACCCGAAAGATTCAAAACAGTAAATTGTTCATCAGGGCCAAGCATAACAAGTTCAGGACCAAAAATAAGTCGGGCTTTCTTTGATTTATAATCATAGATTTGTACACATGCATTATGTGGTACACGATATGTAATAACTTTTGATTTATCTCTTGGTGGAATAACAGATGGTAATCCTGTTTTATCTTCAAAATATCGAGGATCTAAGACAATTAATTGTTCAACTTGGGCTGGTAAATCTTTTTCCCAAAGTTCTTCATTTTCAGTTAATAAATATGTATTACCAATAACAGAACGAATTTTACCAGTTTTAACATCACGAACATAAATACCTTCATTGACATCTAATGGAATTGCTTTACGTCGAAGAACAACTTCGGCTTCAATAGCTGGAATATAATCTTTTGGACCACGAACCATCCAACGATCACCGGGATTACGTGCGACTTTCTATTTAATAATTATCATGAATAAAATAAGTAGTCAACAAAAAAGACTTACTCCATTTTCTTTAAATGATTCTGTACAACGAAGAATAAGACCTTCATCTTCTTCAAGAACATATACAGCTTGAATACCTTTTGCTAATCGTTCACCGGGTTGAAGAAAGAATGTTTTTTCTCCCTTAAAAAAATAAATTTTCTATAAAAAAAATAAATTTTAAATGTTTTATACTTGAACAAGTTTTTTCTTTCCAAGTTGAGGTTTACCATCGGTACCAACTGGATCAAGAATAACACAGTATTGACGAGAATTTAATACTGTTACGGATACAACACCAACAACCTATATATTTATTTTATATTTATCTTTCTATTTAAAACAAAAAAATTAATTCTACCTCTTCATAAACATCAGGAATATATGTTTCAGCATCACTAGCATAGACTAACCATTCTTCACCATGAAGATGTTTACGTTTAACTGAATCAGTAAATGTTCGTAAAGCACGAACATGAAGAGCTTTCTAAAGAAAATAATAATAAATCGTACAATGATCAAAACGATAAACACATACTTTGTCAGTGAGCACATAAGCTTTAACTGTTGAAACAACTTCTTCATAGGCTAATGGTAAATAAGAACCAACGGTTCGGTTAAGCCATTCTTCGCCTGTTTCTCGTTCAACACCATCTCGATCTGTCATTTCTTTTTTAGCACGTAAACGAACAGCTTCATTTGGTTTAAGAATAATAGCTTTGATTTGTTCTTCAACGCTAACTTCTTTACGTGGAAAATAAGTTCCTAAGAATAAATTTGAATTTTAGTATTTAGATTAAAATATGTAACTCATTTTTCTACCTGGTCCATGAAAAAGAAATTCATCTCCAGCACGAATTTGTTGACCTTGATCATCAATAAAATCCAAAACAGCACGAAGACGTAATGCACAATTAGGTTCAATAACTTTTAATGGTGTTATAGTTTGTTTAAGTATTTCACCAGGATAAAGTGAAAATGGTTCTTGAGCAAAACGTATATCAACATCTGAATGTAATAATTTAACTTGACCATTCGAATCCAGAATTACTTTGCCATTTTTATCACGAACAGCTGGATTTTCAATAACACAATAATGACGTGGTCTAGAGATTTATATAAAATAAATATATATGAAGAAATATAATTTATAAACATACGGAATGATTAACATGCGCTCTGGGCCAAGTAAAACTTTTTCATGATCTTGTCTTACAAATGTTTTTGGACCAACTTCAAGTCGAGTTACATTCGTATTTTGATCCAGTACATGAATATAATAAAAAGGTGCAATTCGATAAACTAAAATTAAAATAATATTCAATAAGAATAAGAAATTAATTTTCTTATTACCATTCATATGCTTTGCATCGGTCATTTTTACTCTTGAAGACTAATGTAAGTCTGAATGAAAATGAAAAATACAAGGCCTTTTATGTATGAGAAAGAATGTCGCCATAATTAGAATATGTTGTGTATGTGAAGGAAGGAAAAAAAAGTTTTTCAATAAAGTTGTGAAATCACAAAAGAAGAGCATTGCACGACTAAGTCATAATTATGTGAAATTCAACGATATAGACTGTAGTTGATTCATTTTTCACAGTAAAAAAAATATTTATAGAACACATGTAGATGACAATGAATACGATAAGAAAGCAAACAATTTAGATTAATATTTGTAATTTCAATCACAGTGAGAAATAAAAGGTATACTTTTTTTCATTCTATTGTGAAATTTCAAGTGACACCAACTCAAATTTCGTAAATATAACACATATAGTTCATTGGATGTCGCTATCCGATATTTAATTACGCTATGCAACTTGATATAGAAAAATTTCAATTCAAGTGATGTACCTTCTAAATTGTATATGACTAAATACAAAATATACTATCAATGTCTTGGAAATTCAACAATTTTGTTTATATTTATAAATAAAAGTTTATTTAACAATCTTTTCAACAAATTGTATTATACATTTCGTAATATTTTTATTAATCTCTGCAGTCGACAGATAATTAATTCAAATATATATACGAAAAAAGCAAATGAAAAATTCGAAGAAAAAATAATAAATATTGTTATAATACAACTCGTTGTGTACTGTTATATCAATTGAGATAATAATTATATTTAACCTAATTATTTAAACATCTCTCCATGTAATCAATGTAGCAGTATTCACATTTAAAATTCCGGGTTTTTTATCTCCATCTCTCTGATCATTATATAGAATAACACCAGTAATAACCATTAATGTTCCAATACCACTTAAAAATGTTATGGGATTATTGAAAATAATAACAGATAACCATATTAATAATGCTCGTTTAACCGTATTTACAACACTAATCAAAATAAATCAATTACAAAATAAATTTATATTTTCGTTTTACCTGTGTGTTATTGGAGATATATAAGCCATGAGAGCAAATGCAGCAACAGACTGTATATGATAACAAAATCCATTAAAAATATAATATATAAATAATTTTTTTGTCGTTAATTCTAATGCTAATGATATATCAACATAATAATAAAGTAAAGGCAATTGAAAAATACAAGCTACAAAGCTTGCCCAAAATTGTAATTCAACAGCTGTATAACGATGATTTTCACCGCTAATTAAAAGTTTCGAAAAAACATTTTGTAAACTAGAAAAATAGAAAAAGATTAATAAAAAAATATTCGAAATAATATCTTACCAATCAAATATATTAGTACCTAATGCACATAAAAATCCAAAAAGTTCAAAACTTAATTCAAATGAACTACATAAACAAAGGCCAATTGTTATTGGTATCATTGACAATTTTGTCCAATTACCTAAAATATAATCTCTGTTTTATTATTCTTACAAGGGAACTATCTGAGGTGATACCTTCCGTTTCTGTCCAATTATATCTCATCTGATAGAGTCTAATTAGATAGTAGAAAGTCTAAAGAGATTTCTCTCCAATGTTTGTTTTTCAAAAACTGTAGTTATTTTATTTCCTTGTACATTTTTTCAAGAGTGGTGTAGGGAACCTCAGGGTTCAAAAAAATCGTATTTTTAAAATTTAGTCTGAAACTTTGTATATACAGAGATCTGATCACAGATTAGTTTTGAATCAAAGTCTCACAAGAACGGAGGAACATCTAGGAACCTGCGTATTTGCAGACAATAATGCTGGAAGCTAATCTATAATCAGATCTCTATATATGCAAAGTGTCAGACTAAATTTCGAAAAATACGATTTTTTCGAACCCTGACGTTCCCTACAGCTTTCTTAAAAGTATGTACAAGGAAATAAAATAACTACAGTTTTTGAAAGACAGAGATTAGAGGAAAATTCCTTTAGGCGTTCTACTATCTAGTTAGACTCTATCAGATGAGATATAATGGAATAAAGCGGAAGGTGTCACTTCAGATGGTTCTCTCGTTAGAAATATGCAATCAATAATCAGTTAATATTAGTATAATACTAACATTCATTAAGATCATGCAATATTTTTTCTCTAGTTAAATTTGATTTACATCGTTTGTATTAAACAACTAGTCTGATCTTGTTTATATATATATATGAGTATGCAGAAAACATACGTGCTTTCATTATAGATCGGTATGTCGATCTACAATAAAAAATAGATCTGTTCTCTGAATAGTTAAAATATTCACGTCTGATACCAATAGAAACAATTTTGTTTAGAAACGATACAAATAGAATTTCATTAGATAATAACTGTTCACAAAAGTAGAGTAATATATCTTTACTTGTTCTTTCACCAAGCATAATTCGACTAATAACAACAGTAAATAATGGCGATGAAGATTTAATTGTTGCAAGAAATGATACAGCTATATATTTCAATGCAATTAAACCTAAAATCACAGTCACACATCGAAATGCACCAATAAGTAGCATATCACGATATACATTTTTCATAATTGGTGGAGGTCTATGTATTTCATTATTCATCATATGTATAATTCGCATTTGAATATAACCACTAATTACAGATACAACAAGTTGACTTGTACCTTGATTAAAATTAGAAAAAGAAAAATGTAGTTAAATAAAAATTTCTTGTATTTCAATACCTAATAAAAAAGCATCACCATCCAAATGACTTAGAATATATTTATTTGAAAATAATGTTGCACCAGATGAAATATACCATAGAATTAAAATAAGAATCGCCATTGTATGATATAAACCTTGTGGAACTTCAAGAAGAAGTTTTTCTGTTGAAAGAAATACATTTGATTTATTTGGAATGGTTTCAGTTAAACTTGTTACTGGCATTAGTATTGTTAATTCCGTCGAATAATCATATGGATATTTTTATAAAATATTTTCGAAGATAAAACAATTATTGTTTATCATAAACTGACATGTATACCGAAGAATATGAGATAAAATAGTGCCCGTCCTTGTTTAATACGATACTTTCATGTATATTATTATATTATACAGACTATAAAATTGATTCTATTGGTTCTTAAATATGATCTATCATTTGAAACAAGATAGATGGAGTTCGTTATTTATACTATTATGATAAATATATAAAATATTAGTATATATTTTACTTATTTTTGATTAAAATTATATATTCAATCGATAGAAAACTGTTTATATCAATTAGCAAAGTAGAAAAATGTGATATTCGTCAGAAAGCATATTATAAAAAAGGATAAATACAACAGAATTTTTGTTAACTAAATTTATATAAAGAAATAAATATAAACTCGATACTATTCTAACAAAGTCGCTTGTTGAAATAAGGATATCAATGCTATTCGATATTTTCAAATAGTTGTAATTATTGTAGTATTGAATAAAGTTTCCTTCTATTCCAAATGCATCTCGTACTAATTTGATAGATAATAATTTAATTTCGAAATAATTAAGCAGATCGTTTCCTCCCACATCATTCATATTAATCTAATAATAAACTCAAATTAGAAATTTGAGGACGTATAGGAATCATTTTCACACGATATATGGTACCTAGAAGTTGCCTTTCGTATGTACATTTTACTGTTTTTCTCGATAATGATGAGAAAAATGAATTCCTTTTTAAGTATTCTTTATGTTAAGTGTGGTTTGAATTATTTCATATAGTAATAAGTAAAAATTCAAGAGATCAGCAAAGTATCATATAGAAAATTTGGTAAGATTTACGTTATTTTTACATTTAGTCCTTAAACGACGTTGTATTATCAAGATTGTCACGTCATACAGTGTGGGTTGCGAATAATAATAGAAAAACACGAACAAACGCATGACTACCGTATGAGTACATTACTTTAATGAGAACGCGATATAACAACCTTTATTATCATAAGACCATCATAAAGTCTTGTCAACATCTTATCAAAGGATAATACTAATTCGATGTTTAATTATATCTGACTAATTTATATTCTATCATAGATTGTTTTCTCAGCTGTAAAATGGTTGCTAAGAGAGAATAATATCTAACTTTTCTTGTTATCTTCTTTAATATCTGATGTATCTGTGTACCTGTTTGTACTCAGTTTATTGGTCGGATGTTTATCTTTCTTTCTTTATAGCTTGTTAGACGTGCACAATAATTTTGGACACAGAATGCTACACAATATTTGGTGTAATGTGAGATAAAAACATCAACATTAACCTACATGTCTGTTCTATGGTCTTCTATGTGAGCAACCTTTGTTTACAAATAATAAATTGATAAGATTCCCTAAGAACTTCATGATCATTATCCCGATCAGTCTTTTACACTCAAGTTCAATCAGTTGATCAAAACGAATGAATCAATACGAAACAAGATATTCTGAAATGTAAAACAAATCAAAGTTCACAAAAATTTATTTCTTTTATTAAACAATTTGTAAATAAATGAACACAAGTATAGAAGACTGGAGAACAGTTTACATACATTCAATGTCGAAATTTTTTGATTTTCTATTCTAAAGATCATTGTGATAAAAAAAACGACAGTTTTAGGTAGTCACAGCTGTTACAGGGGGAAGGAAAGAGAAACGGAAGGAAGCTAAAATTATCAATATCTGGATTCACGACGATAGAAGGTGCTTCACATCCTACTTCTTTCGATTTACTTTAAATAGACGATGGTAAGATAAGATTATATAGTACTTTTTGATTCAAGTGAAATTCATTCCTATCGGTATTGTTTGTATTTTATAGTCATAATTAGAATTTTTAATTAGTAGTTCGTTCATCGAATTGTATAACATTAACCTTAACTTTGCTAAAAAAAATTAAAAATGTCTACACGCTAAGAATAAAGGTTGTTATTAGTAGAAAAAGATTATTCAGTAGAATTGTCGATGTGCTAAGAAAGATCAAAATAGTAGAAAGTAAAGACTTCTATATAGGCTATACTTATCTGACAAAGAGATGTCCTATGTAAAGAAGAACGTGACAAGCATGAGCGAAATAGAGTAAATCCTAGACACGCATCTAGAAATTATGTCTAGCGGAGATCAACTATTTTAGGAGGAGGATTACTGACTAGAAAAACTGTTTCTTCGGTTTGTAACATTTGATAAATCCGTACTCCCCTCCAGGCATCTGTATTGTTCAGAAGGGGACCGGCCCTCTAATCCTCCCTTTGGGTTTGTTACTGGTAAATCCGACAGCCTATTTTTATTTTATTTTTTTTCATCACAACAGAATTTTTCTTAGAATGTGTGGTCTGTTTTTTTCTATATGGTAATTTAATTGTTTCAAACATTAGAACTATTGTAAGTCCATATAATCTAATAGTTTTTATATTCATTTATAAAATACATCAATATACTGAATTTTATTTTGATGTATAATTCAATTATCAATTGAATTGTTCTTCTAGAATTTGAGAAAGATACTTTAAGTATTCATCATATATCTGCAATCAAATAACTAATAAATACAAGTTGATTTATGAATGACGTAAAATAAATATTTCTCCAGAGTACATCTAATAAAGACAAGAAATTTTTCTTTTAATCAGATGAATAAATTTAAGACAATATGATCTACATTGTAGTCAGTCTCAAACGTCTAAGAATAGAAAAATTGTATGTGAAATATTCGCATAGTGCATGTATAGTTTAACCAGATTTCTCTCCGTGACCATCTGGATTTTATCGTTTCTTAAGATATTTTTATATTCATTTGTATGCCTTTTTAGTAATGTTTTTCTTTTATTAAGCAGAACACTGATTCAGATTGATAGATTTATTATTCCTTATAGAAGCTTTTACCTACAGTCATTGAGTTTATCTCTATTCATATGAATGTATTATTAGGTGAATTAATCCTTCTTCGTATCTATTTATAAAAAAATAGAAGATTTTGCTTGTGTTTATTCTTGTGAATCTAATCAAAATCGAAGTAAGATAGTCTGAGAGCAAAATGAATGACATTTTGTCTACTATATTTACAAAAATAACTTCATATTTCACACTCAGTAAACAGAGTTCAATATGTTAAGAAAACAACAGTGTATATTAAATTTATAGATTATAAACATTTGAATGATTTTATTTGTTCTCGTAAAAACAACTAATTGAAAAGAGTACTTTATATTTGCGTTATTTCTACAAAATCCCTAGAAATACTAAAATGACAATTAAGGACATGTATTACATTAACTTATTTATAGCTAATGAGATAAAATTGATTGTATTAAAAAAATGATTCTGACGTAAATAAGATTTATTTGCAAAACTTAAGTATATATCAAAAATATCATAAGTACAATAGTATTTTCTTAACAAAGTTAATTATGAAATGTACTTTCATATATATATGTCACATGCCATTTATTACTCAATGTAAACACGAAATACATTATATGATGCGCAGTACTTAAACAGCGTGATTTTAAAATAATTTCATAAGAGTTTTGTTCATCTGAATTATAACATGATATAGATATATTTCTATTAAAAGAAGCCTGGTATGTGGTTAGAACGCCATTATATCTAGTTTTTTTCTTGTTCTAGAATTCTATACTTTGAAAAATGTTGTAAAAGAACACTATTAATCATAATATGTATATTTAGAAAGATATCAGCGAGTTACTAAGTCCAAATGTGAATCCATTAGTTATAATCTGTAAAAAAAAACCTTCACTTTGAGTACGAAAGTTCAGTTCTTTTTTTTGCTGCTCGGTATTATTTACAAAGAGATTTAGATATAATGATAATATTATGTTTATAATTATAGCTATTACATGTCTCTGTGGCTTGCGGATCACTATAAGGAAATACATCTGAGAACTTTTTTCAGCTGTTTAATTAAAAAACAGGATTTTTTTTCTTGATGACTCCCTCCATGTAGAACAAATTATAGTGAAATGATTGATGGATAGTTTATCATATGCTTTGACAGAATCTGTCATATTGAATTTTCGTTTGTTATAGTGAAATTTACAGAAACCAGAGTAAGATATGTGCAGTGTCAAATAGTCGATCGTAAAGTTTTGAAGTACATTAATAATAGAGAGAAAAACAAAATAGCTGTAGAACTGATTAATGTTATTATCTTGACATCAATAAAAATTATTATTAGAAATATATGTCTTCTTGATTATTAAAAAGTTTATTTGTATTAAATCAAGAAAGGTTTCTCAAAACACAGAACCTATAGACGTTATCGTTTTCTCTCGAGAAATAAGTGACAGATAAAGACTTCTTTTCTTCTATCATATAACTAGAAATCAATTATTGGAAAGAGATAAGGAAATCATTTGTACGAGTCATTGAGTAAATTAGTATGATGCATAGAAATAAATATTCTAGAAGAACTGAACTTGAGCTCTTTGTAAAGAAACCTGACTAAGAAATGTTATGAATTTGAAGACCTCTGCTTTTTGTAATCGAGCATTTTATTCCGAGTCGTAGAAGAGATATCAAAAACATAAGTGCATACATCCGGTTTTGTCATTTTGTCAGGCACAGATTGTTTTTCAAAATATTCTCCCATCATTATTAAAAAATGTAATCTTTTCCTTCCTACTATTTAATAGAGGAAAATATGCTTTGAAGTATCGTAGTCATTAAAAACAACTATATAGAAGAAATCTACGCATTATGCAAGGAATAAATTTCAAAAGCGTAAAAGATGTAATGCACTTAAAAGCTTTTTCTTTTTAAAAATACTTTATAAATAATGTTTCTTGTCAATACGAAGATTCATTTTGTTGACAATACACAGAGTTTAATTAAATGATTTAGTTTTATTACTGGTTTATGTTCGGAAATAAAATTAGAAGATTTTGACAGATTTATTTTTCTGGTTTGTTT